ACTTCTATTCTAGTGGGGAGATTCCTCATGTAAAAATATGACTTATTTTTCATATCAACATAGGCCCGATTCTGCTTTGTTTTGTAGCTACAGGGTGTTAATGTTTTAATCTTTTTTGGATTTATTATAATTTTCTTCCAAGTACTTTTAGAGTTTCGAATGAAATTTTGAGGGTGAAAGTTATATAAATGCGACGTCTTTCAATGCTAAAAAAGTGTTAATAAATTTATCAGGGACGTGCATCTTAGACCAGTCGACAAGTGGTTTTAGGTGGAAATAATTAGGAGCAAGCTGCAATAACACTTATTCTGTTTGTTTTGCTTTGTTGAATACTCTACTAAATTTGCACGGTTTATCGATCCCGGATTTGGCCGCCATATTGGAAAATCCTGTCAAATTATGACATTTTTATGTTTTTTTTAAATAACTCGGTCTGGGTACGCTGTACAGAAAATTTGCAAGAAACCAAAATTTTAATATATAACTTAATAGAAAAGCTATTTAAATTCTTTACAAAAAAGATCCTATTCACCGATTTCGTGCATGAACAGGTTAACGTAATACAGGCGCTTAAATACAAAGCATATATTTTCTAGTAGTTCATTTAATATGAGACACTGATTCTATGTAAATTTGAATAATTTGCCAGTACAAATTTGTTTTTCTTGTGCTCGTTTCCACACCACCTGGCGGCAGAGCACTCGGCGCACTTTTTTAAATGATTTCCCCTATAGGCCTAATCCACTTTCTTGCCCTTGCAAATGTTCTATTTTTATATCCATATGACATGATATGCTTTATAAGTATTATGTATTTTCACCGTCTGCTTTTTTTGACGTAGAAGGTTGATCAATTGACTCATCAATATATTCTTCATCAGACTGTTCATCTGGTTCTTGTTCAATGTCTATGTCTTCGATATTTTCGATGGTCATTAATTCTTCTAATCGAGAATCGATTTCTTTATCGTCCCCTGGATCTTCTAGAGTTATTTCATAATTTGAACACTACCGAACAGTGTAATCCTGCTTTTCTGCAGCTGCAGGCTGCGTTGCAACCTTTTATGCATTTACAAGAAATCATCTTCAATAACTCTTGGGGAGCGGCGTCTTGCAGCATAGGAATCGGTATAAGTCCATTGGACGACTGCTTCCTACCCCAGTCAGTGGGTATTTTTTCGTTACCGTACCATTTTTGGACTTGTAGGTATATACGAAATGAGTGCATGCGAGCCGCATCTTCGGTTGGAGGAAGGGATGCAAGATTAAATAAACTCTTTGTTATAGATTGCGCAAAAAATCGATGTCTATAGATGTGTAATGATGTATCGTCGCTCTTTGAACCATAAAGTTCAAGAAGAAATTGAATTCCAACTTTGGCTATGCTTTCTGGAGTTTCATTTGGGTCTCTAAAAGAGTAAATGGCAGTTTTCAAACTTGTCTGATTTCTTAGAACCTTAAGGAACTTCATTTTACCCTGCCTGTAAATTGCTGAAGTGGTGTCGCACCCACTAAATGCATGTAAAAACAAAATGTTTTCTTTCACAGCCGTGTCCAATATAGATGCAGGGGGTGAATAGAATAATGAAACACTAAAACGATAATAATTAATAGAACCTTTTTTGTAGAGAATTTAATTTGCTTTATTTTTGGTTACCTGCATTTTTTTTCTACAATGCACCCAGACCGAAATATTTTAAAAAATCTATAAAAATGTAGTTTTTATATCGACTTTTTCAAAATGGCGGCCAAATCCGGGATCGACAGACCGTGCAAATTGAATATATCATTCAGCACATCAAAACAAAGAAAATAAAAAATAATTCAGCTTGCCCCTAATTATTTTCACCTAGGCCTATTTAAAACGACGTACCGACTGGCGTTATCACTGGAATATTTTTCAAAAAAAGCACATGTGCGCCACTGACTTTTTTCTTTTAATACCAAAATTGGGTAGGCCGTTTAATGTCAGTTAAAAGTTATCTCTTAATTTTTTGGCAAATTCGACCTCCTTGATGAGATAAACGCAATTTTATTAATTACAATTAATAAATTTAACATAAAAATAAAATTAATAAATTATACATTTTACCTAACTTATTATTAAATATTATTACTATTAGTTATTATTACTATTAGTTTAACATACAGCAATTTCAAATAAAAAAATAATGGTATTTAAGATAATTACAAAAAACAAATATTAAAATTTTTAACGTAACTCTAAAACTATGCATTTCCATACCCATGTTTATGGGAACTTTTTTTCATATTTTTTGGTGAGAAATCAATGAGTACTTATGTAAAACTTTCGCAAGTTAATGATATTAATTTTTTTTAACGGTTGCTATTAGATATGGATCAAGGCAAATTAATAAAATTGCGTTTATCTCACCAAGGAAGCGGAAATCGAAAACATATCAAGAGACAACTTTTAATCAGTATTAAACTGTTTACACTATTTTGCTAACTAGAGAAAAAAAAGTTAGTGGCGTACATGCTTTTTTAGAAAAATATTCCAGTGATAACCCATATGCACGTCCCTGGTGAATATGTGGACACTTTTTTAGCTTTAAAATATGTCTCATTTATAGTAACTTTTACCCTCATATAACGTGAGTTTCTTTTCCCAATAATATTTCTTTTAACATAGGTTTTAAAACGACACATTTTAAGAGTTTGTGCCTGCTAAGTATTTCTGCGTCTCAAGCATGTCACGCCATATCTGATTTTTATGGGCGTCCTGCACTCCGATTTAGGGGTAAAAGTATTCCTAGAAAAGCGTTCAAAATCGAACGATGATTGGTCGAAACAATTCTGTTTCGGAAAAGAAAGTTTGAGAATATTACCTAAGGCAGAAAAATACACATATTCCGACGCACAGTACAGTTTTGAGTGCGGTGGCGTGAATAGTGTGTCAGTTAAAGTAAAGTTAATTAGTTAGTTAGTGCAGTGATATAAGCAGAAAGCAGGGTGAGTACATCTCACTAAGTGTCGTAGTTTATTAATTAATTAGATCATGAATATTTTGATAAATATATTGATACGTTTTGTTAGATATCATTTGCGTACACATATTATTAAATATTACATTAAATAACTGCGTCGTATACATTAGCTAGGTCAAAATATGAATATGAAAGTTAGATAGGGTTAGCTATTAAGTAATGCGGCGGTATACCGATGCGGCAGCTACGTGAGCTTTGGTTAGATAGGCTATTGAATCTCTTTACTCTGTAGAGTCGGTGCTGTCTAGTCAGGAGGAGCGCAAGGATAGGCCCGTTAATGTTGCTTGGCAGGATCTGGGATCCCGTAATGTCATAGTAGCAGGGACGCGATTCCTCGTAATGTCGCAACGGTGTAGGGAGTAAAATCCTGGTTATCACCGGTTTTTGTTGTGCCTCTGGGCGTAACCAGATGCGGGAGCGGGACCCCGAGAGATTCAGCCGCTGTATCCGGGTCTTCTGGTTCGTCTAGACCGTGCCACGGGGGGGCGTGGACGGGGGCAAGACAGTACGTTAGTATTTGATGAGATAGAGAGAGAGAGAGAGAGAGAGAGATTGGATAGTTCTTTTGTAAAGTAAATAATTAGTTAATATGATAGCCACGTAAGCTTTAGGTGGATTAGTGAATTTCTGTTCTCAGTAGAGTTAGTACTGCTTAGCTTGAGGAAGCGCAAGGATAGGCCCGTTAATGTTGCTTGGCAGGATCTGGAATCCCGTAATGTCATAGTAGCAGGGACGCGAATCCTCGTAATGTCGCAACGTCGCACACGGCAGGGATCTGGGATTCCGTACGCCGTGTGTCAACGAACATTATTATTATGTCTGGGACGGTACCTCCGGGTCTTCAGCGGCGGGAACAGACCCCAGGGTCCTCGAATCTCGGGATCGATATGTTGTGTTTATTCTGTTGCCCGTGCGGCTGATTAGTCTGGAGTCCGCGCCATCAGGGGGTGCGTGGGCGGAAGGCCAAGCAGTGCATTTGCATAGATATGTTGGTAAATCTTGTATTGAGAGAGACAGAGATAAATTAGTCCATCTAGTAAGATAAATAGGAATAAATAATAGGTAGTTAGGGCAAAACAATATCGGCACATAGCAGTTAAGTAGGTCGGAATTATGAACTGGACACTTATCCTTACTTTTAATTGTGACAGGTATTAAAGTACGCCTCCGCTCAGGGTCAATGCTTCACGGATTATTTGGTGAGTCTGTGATTTATTTATTTGTTTTCCTGACAATATAATACTTTGAAACATTTTAATTATCCTGTCACGAGTTATGGTTTTGTTAGTTGTTTAGATTGTTTATTATTATATAAAGAAAGTAAACAAAAAAAAATCTTACACTCAAAATTTCATTTCAAACGCTAAAAGTACTTGGAAGAAAATTATAATAAATCAAAAAAATATTAAGACTTTAACACCCTGTAGCTACGAAAGAAAGCAGAATCGGACCTATGTTGGTATGAAAAATAAGTCTTATTTTTACATGAGGAATCTCCCCAAGAGAGATGGCACATGTTTTTTGAACACCCTGTATATCCACATCATAATTAGGTAGTCTTATAGAAAATAAAGCGAAATGGCGAAATGTATCCTATCTTCGTGGTTAGCCGGTGGTATGACAAAAAATTTGTCCTATCAAATGAAATTTAACACACCCATAAAAAAACATATCTTTATTCTTTTAAAAATGTATAATTCTTATAAAAATGTATAATTCTTATAAAAATGTAAAATTCTTATAAAAATGTATAATTCTTATAAAAATGTAAAATTCTTATAAAAATGTAATAAATCGTTATGGAAATGAAAATATAAAATGACACCAATCACAAGCAAATCGTACATCCGATGAATGAAAATGCAATAAATTTAAAAACTGCGTAATTTTCTAACCAATCGAAGTCTTTAAATTCAACCAATAAAATTAATATCGTATCGTCGGATAACGGATGCATGAAAATCAAACTTTATTATAATTATTTTTTTTACAGGGGCTTATCTAAAATTATCAGAATTGAATAGTGGTGCTATCCTGTCATGCAAATCTTATGTGGTTGGAAATGGGCAGTTATCTCAAATTATACAAGCCAGTGATCGATGCTTCAATTTAACTGGTCAAAATTCGTCGTTAGATTACGAAATTGAATTTCGTGCCCAACTTAATACTGATGTACTGTATAAGAAACTTGTCTTTAAACCTTTACACCCTGATGCATTTGGTAAGTTACTAAACTTATAGACTTATATTATATTGTTACGTATTCCGTGTGTTTCTATAACAAAGACAAACTAATTTATTAAAATAATCAAAACTATAATTAGTTATTTCAGTATTACGCAGAAACACCACATACACGATTAACTAATAAACCCTTTGTTGTTGACCTCGACACGTCGATGGTACATTGACAATGAAATTAATATCGACAATGACCACCACCCCCTCCACTTAAGGCTATTCAACCTTTTCCAATATGGCGGAGATAGAAGGACTTTATTTGGCGCGTATTTTAAACCCTGTTTTATTTCCAAATAGACATTTTTCACACAAATGTCGGGTTAGATTACGTAATATTTCACTAATTTTTAGCCGACCATACCAACAGGTATGGTAGGCTATTAAGATCGGCAATAAATTTTTTTTTTATTTCACTCAAAATGCGTTATTTGGGTCATAAATGACCTAAATACAAAATATTTTCATGGTCTGTTCGTCTGTCTGTAACACGATAACTCAAAACCCGCTAAACCGATTTTAACCAAATTTGGTCTTACTGAGGCACCCGAGAATCTGGCCATTAGTTTTTGGTGGGGGTGGGGGTTTGGTAAGGGGGTATGGGAGGGGATTAAAAATTTAAAAAAATTACAGTAGTCCAAAAAAACAGTAAAAAGTCCAAAATTACAGTAGCTAGCGAAACGCGGTTTTCAATTTTAGATTAGGAATAATATTTGCAACAAAATTTGTAATAACAGGGAGTCCAAAGTTCTCCACATAAGTATGGAATTTTTTGTATTACTTTTATAAAAACATCAGTTAGTTACTTTTTATAAAAATGTCTGCTTTCTCAGAAAATAGGTAGTGTTAAAATATTCAAACTTGAGGTAGCATATACATATAGGGTGTTCAAAATCATCAGAAAAAGAAATAACCAGAAATATATGACAGAAAATAGCAATATAAACTAAATATTCAATTGCAAACACTTACCTACCATAGTTTAGAATTTACTGAACGTTTGATAAATATATACTATTATGGACAGTATAGGAAGTTACTTGTCTTAGTAAAAGCCTTGGTAAATGCTCTTGGAAATAATTCCAAGCCAGTGTAGTTTATAAAAACTACACTGGCTTGGATAAAAAAATATGGAATATTTTTTCTATGTTTTGCAGCATTACACAAATGGGAATAAATTTAAATTGTAATAGGCGAGGATAACTAAAAAATATAATATGTGTTTAAAGATTTTATATAGAAAAAAAAACTAAATACCTTTTTGGGGGTTTGTAAGTAAAACTTACGCTTAGCTTAGTTTTCTTTACTCTTTCTCTTTACATAGGGCATTGTCTTTGTGGTAAAGACGTCATTCTTTTTTTTGCATAGTTCTTCAATAAAATATTGGATATTCTGAACAAGATAGATTTAATAATAAATTCTGACGTATGTGAGGGGCAATTGTCACCTGAAAAAAGACTTACTTCCAGGCCATTTATATTTTCAAATGTCAATGTTGTCAATATCTTTCTGGGATATTTTTTTATGTAAAAAGCTTGATTCTTCTTGCAATATTTTACTTATAGTGAGGTAAGTGTAAGCAGTAGCCATAACTACATCCTCACTAGGGTAACAGAGGCTTTGGCCTTTTTGAGACATATTTAATGCACTTCTTAACCGAGAACTACTAGCAGGAGTGAAATTATCTCTTTTAATAGCTGTCAACCATTTTTTACGAAGCTCGTCATTTTGAGGGAATATAAAAGCAGAAACCTTGGGACCCCCTCTATAATTCCCGTGACAATTTGGAATAGAGCATGTATAAGGCATGCTACAATAAAATGTTAACCCTTTAATATCTATCTTTTGATTATTGTAAGTAACCATTATGGTGCGTCCAGACCTGAGGAGTCGAGTGCGAGATGAGAGCGAGACAAGAGCAAGACGAGTGCGAGACGAGAGCAAGACATTTTCTATCCATTTTTTGACACAAGCCTGCCACGAGACAAGCTAGTTGGATCGTAGTGAAAGGTGACCGGTTTGTGTAAACATGTTCCATGAAAAACCTGCAGCAAATAATAACGCATAAGTAATAAATTTTTGTATCTTTAACATGATATTTGGTTTGTCGTATTTTATTCATCGTCGTTTCATTCATTTCCCCTTTTACCCTTTATTTGTTTCGAGACACGACGTCTTTTACAAAATTCGTTTTTAGAACAAAATGTTAAATAGAAAAGTTATAGGAAATGTTAAGAAGCACATTTGAAAATCACTGTAGAGTATACGGGTACTTCAAAAAGTGTTACGGATAAGGTATGTTTTAATTATTTTAAATACTTTTATATTTTTATTTTATTATTAGATTCTACGTAAAATTCGGTAATTTTTTTGCATATCATATATATCTAAAATAATAAATTTTGTAATAGTTCAATTTGTTTAAAGAAATGTTAGATTTCGGTACGGTAAAAAGTGTCAGTGATGCAAAATTTGTAAATTCTTTTAAAAAAATGATAATACATACGGTGTTCAGATTATTTAATTTTAAATAGTCGAAATTGTACCCTGTATACTCTATAATAATTTTAAAATGTGGATTCCATAATATTGATTTTGCTTTATATAAATCGATGAATTTCAGCTGATCTTTTTCCGTCCAAGTTTCCATTTCAATATGCACTAATATCAGAGCTAATATCTCGCAGTCGAGCGACTCTACCAAAAACACGTCCAGACTTGGCCGCGAGCTTTCTTTGATCGGCCGTCGAAAACCCGACAGGGGACGCATAGCAACGAGACTCCGTGGGTTGGGAGGTTCTTGCGAGACCCGTCCACACTTAGCGAATTTAGAATGTCTCGCGCTCGTCTCGCACTCGACTCCTCAGATCTGGACGCACCATTATAAAGTACTATGCCGACTGGCGGTGAAGGCCTTTTACTCATTTAGGTGTAATATCTTGATAAATACTTCTAGTTCTTACCTTAAAATAATTAATAATACAGGAGTACGATAAGCACAAAAGTTTGAAGTTCCCTATGCGGAATGTCTGGTTTGGATTTTTATTACACTCTTATTTTACCACAATATCCTGATCACACCATGCACTGAACACTAAGAACTAAACAAACGTGTTGCAGAAGCACAACAAACTAGAGATAATTAATTATTTCTGGTATGCAATCGGAACGAGAAACCACTACCGGTTTTTCAGGTTAAAGGTAAACAATTAAAAAATGCACTGCCGTCGCCGCCATATTTGCCTTGCGCATATCTTGTTGAATGACCTTAAGTGAAGGGGGTGGTGCAATGACGATAATGTCACAGGCGCAGGTTTGAGGTTAGGTTTCTCATTTTTGTTTTGTTTCAAAATTCGGAGACTTTTCAATGTCCCGTCTCGAGTCGGTAAAGATCAAAGTGTCTATGTTTTGTTCGTATATTTTTCGACAAGTTATGAGCGCAGTGTGGATGGCGTATGCTGCCAACAGTAGGAGACCAGAGTTACGCCCACGGATTCCTGCACACCTGCTAAAAAAATCAGGCCATCCTGATGGGAAGATGCGGTCCTTGCAGTTTCCACGAGCACCTGCACCAAGCCGAGGAGACTCTTTTCTCACATTTTAAATTCATTCCATTGTCTTTGCTCTTACTGTAAACACCTCGTATTTTTATTAAATAAAATTAAAATTTATTTTTTAAAAAGACCCCGTTTTCTTGAAACGTAATTCCAGTGAAAAATCACACTTATTTAATAAAACTCTTTCGCAACAACTAAACTGACTTTGTTGTACTTTTGTCCTTGCGGTGTGGACAATTTGTCTCAAGTTTGTGTTGTCAGAATTCCCCATTTCCCCATTCCCCATTTTTACTCAATAAAAAAAAACAAATTATTTTAGAAATATTGGGTTTTTTCTTTAATATTTGCAAACAATCTTACATGATACAAATAAATGTGTAGAATCTGTGAAATTAGTCTACCAGAATTATATAAAATTAGTTTTCAAAATAAAAACATCTGTTAAAAAGTTTAATTTTGTAGACCTGTTATTTATTAACACAAACATCCGATACACTAGTGAAGCATGGAATTAGGATTGATTAACGTATTCAATTATTGTTTTTGGTCACTTCCTGTTTCACCGGAAATTATTACAACTTTTGTTATTTAAATGGCACCCTCGGTATTTTTTTCCTTATTCGACAGAAAATGACATTATGAATAGAATGACATATCATCAACTTTGGACATTTTCGCTTAATAAAAAATTGTATTTTAAAATTCAATGTAGAGTGCCATCATGGTACAAAGAATACAAGGTATGATATTGCGCAGGTTGGTCGCTACGTCACAGGTGATAACAGGCGCTATTGGTCAGCACGCTCCGCGCGCCAGTTCAAATCGTCAAGATATTGTTATAAACCTGTTTTTTTTTTGTTTATATACCGTCATTGAATTATTGCTAAGCAAGTTACGGTGGAGCAGTGCATAAGGAGTCGGGCTAGGAAGCGAGAGACCGGAGTTCGAATCTCGGCCGGAATATCACTTTTTATTTATTTTTTTAAATACTGTTGTATTCTATAGTTTATTTTGTAGTATAAAAAAAAGAACTATTTATTCTGTTATTTTTAATCTCCGTTATTAATATAAATTGATTGTTAGTACAATACCTCATTTAATATAAAATAATATTCTACTTTTTGAAATGTATCGGGCCCTAATTGTACCTAAAAGTAATATATTTTTAGTGATATACCATATTGTAAACTATTTAATATTTTAGTCACTTAAAAAGTTAATTTGCATTGAATAATTGCCTACCATTAAAGGAAATTTGAGCTATATAATCCTTGATGGGCATATTCTGGGTATGCAAATACTTCCTTTAAATTTTGGGTGTCGTTCAACCGATTTATTCTCAAAACCAGAAACTTCTACATATAAAAAGAAGCAGAGGTCACTAATTATAATAAACTTCACCCTTGGTATTACTTCCACTAATTATAATAAACTTCACCCTTAGAATTACTTCTATCACAATTACAATACGTTCATCTGCATTGGCATTTTCTACTTTTCGATGGGAAACAATAAACTTCCCAATATTTTTTAAATGATGTAACAATTCCTCTTGTGGTTACTTTTCCATAGATATCCTCAACTCTGTCCTCATGTGAATTCAGAGGCAATGAAAATGAAAATTATTTACCATAAACATCGCAAACTAAAAACCTAATAAACAATTTTATACCGAATATAGAAATAATTTAGTATTTTTACCTATTATCGTCCAAATCCATGTTAATAGATAATTATTATTTTTAAATATATTTTTGGAACTGCTGGTTTTAGTAATTATTAAATTAAACGAACTAAAAAGTCTTAAAAATAAACAATTCTTAACCATAACCTCAAAAATGCAGATCTCCTGTCAACTTTCTTTATTTTTTATTTATTCATTATTTCCCTAGTGATGTCACAGGTGGTATGCGCGAACTGAACGAAATTGGAGCCGCTATCGATCATACCTTGTATTCTTTGTACCATGCTAGTGAAGCGGGTAAATGAAATTGACGTATCTAAATTCTTTGACATCTCAATCTTTGACAAGTAGTAAATAAAAGCAAAGATGTAAAAAAAAACATATATAATTAGTTAATTTGAAATGAATTTTATAAACGATCGGTTTACTACACGTATGTATATCATATAGTCACTTACTAGGAAAAGTGTTTTCCATCGATTTTTGACCGGGCTCTACCGCACGCTACATACCTATACACAACTAACTATTTTACAGTCTTTTTCGGTAAATCGCAATAGTGTCACTGTTAATTTAAGTTGTACCACAATTTCCTTCTAGATTTACTACCTCTAAACAACGTTGCAGAATAAATTATAAATAACATAGAATAAGGTTAGTAAAACCTAACAAATCCACAAAATTTAAAATCAAATTCAAATGTGTCAAATGAATCGTCTGAATCAACAGAACTGTCAAGAATCCTCACCCTAGGGCCCTACCTCCGTCTACCGTGCATGGTTGCTCTATTTTGTTTCTGGTGTTTATCAGAGAGAAACTAATAACTAAAGTGAGAGGGCTTGTGGAATAGGGCATTTCGTAGGCAAGTTTATTTTGTCACCGCGCATCACAGACGCGCATACCATTTAGGCGGTCAAAAAGGAAGTTTTCAGCTTTGCAAGTTAAACATTTGACAGGATTAATTAGATTGTCAGTAGCTTTTTCTATTTCTTAGTTCTAGAAGGAGATAACTAAAATCTGCTTATAATCGTAGCAAATCGGAGTAATAAATTGTTTTTAACTAAATGTGCCTGTTCTTTTAGCTTGTCAGAAGAGAAGTTTATTGTCATTATTGATTATTTCAGATTCCACGATTATTCGGCATTTTTGTAATTTTTGTTTTGTTGTTGAGACCCAGACAAAACGTTTCCTTTAAGGGTAAGTTTTATCTCGGTAATTATTTTAACATACCTAATAGTAACAGTGAGTGCACATAATAATCGTACATTGCTAATTTAATGTTTTTAATTTAAAACATCACATTCTTTTCTGATACCTATGGAACGACTAGGTATTATACCTGGTATTATTTCCAGTAATACAAATTATTTTCTTCAACTTCTAGGTTCTTGTTATAGAATAAAGACTATCAAAAACATTGAATACCTACGGGATACCTACTGATACTCTGTGCGAGCTCCCAACCGTGCTTCCCTGTTCACTCCCGACCAAGTTAGATAAAAAAGATACTGAAGATTGCAGCCTTGAGTTGGAGTATGGCAAGGAGTATGGAGTTAAATAAATTATTATGTTCCTACACAGTATTTTATTTATAGGTTTTAATGCTTTAAAGTCTAATAATAAATTTTCGTTGTCAACAAAATAATCTAAAAAACTACGAAGATTTCTTATTATAAACTTGACAGATTAAGATTCGGTTCAAATATACAAATTTTAAATTTTTGGCGCCAGTATATTGATATGAATGCAACCTACTATATCGATAATACGCTCATAGTTCGGGTTAGACGCCAAAGGCCGCGCCACTAACACATTCTTCAAAAATTAACGTTGATGGGTCTCTCTCACTTTAGTTATTAGTGTTCTCTCTGGTGTTTATCAACGACATTGCAAATCTAGACATTAGCGGTAAAATCTGCCTCTTTGCACTAGACGATACTAGTTTCACTTGGAGCGGCCCAGATGTTACGGCACTATAATACTGTATCCAGTGACTTACGCACCATTAAATCTTGGTGCGATTTTAATCTCCTATACCTCAACTTATCAAAAACTAAAATTTTGTCATATAAAAATACTATACAACCTTTTGTACTTAATAACACCACTATTGACGTCGTGGACTCTGTGAAATTCTTAGGACTTGTTGTAGACAACTCGTTAAAATGGAACTTGCACATCGAAGCTTTATCAAAGAAACTAAGCGCTGCCTGTTTTGCGCTAAGATCACTTTCTAAGGAACTTAACTTATCAACCTCTAGAATAGCCTATTATGCCCTTTTTGAGTCACATCTTCGTTATGCCCTTCTATTCTGGGGTACTTGCTGCCCAACAAAATTTGATCATATTTTCAAACTTCAAAAGAGAGCAGTTCTATATTTATTGATACTGAACAGTAGAACTCACTGCCAGAATTTCTTTAAAAATTTCAAAATACTGACTCTTCCTTCTTTATTCACTTTTGAATCCGTTTGCTGAATCTTCAAGCACATATCTGCTATTCCCGAAAAAAACCTAACACAACTATTCACTTAGGAATGCAGAGCACAATCTTTATCTGCCAAACCCGAGCTCAGAACTAGTTAAAGGCTCAATACTGTACAATGCCAAAAAAATGTACAATCATCTGCTTTTGAATATCAAGTCGCTTTCATTCTTTCCCGCATTTCGCAAAGCTCTGAAATCATACTTACTGGAGAGAGTCCTATATGTGGTAAACGACTTTTTTCTTTAATCATGAACAATTTTGAATTTTAAAATTTTGATCATCTCACACACTGGTCAAAAGTCGAATATTTAATATTTTATAACTCTTAAAATTATATCCTTTTACAATTATCCTATTGTAAAATTTTATTGATACGCCTTTTTTTGTGTTCTGCAATTGTCCATGTATTTTTTAATGACTTAAACTTATTTGAATTGTATGATTTGTATTGTATATTTTTGTGCTTTTGTTTGTTTTGTAAATGCTTTGACGATGAAGGTATTTTGGGTTTTTGGTACAATAAAGCGTTATTTATTTATTTATTTATATTTATGAATATATGGATAGCATTATACCCCTTCCTTAATATTTTTATTCAAAGGTTTTAAACACGATTTAAAGTTGGGACAATGTTTAAAATTAGTTTTTATCTCTTTTTAACATGTTTGATTTTTCTCTTTGGATATCGCTTTCATTACCTTAAGCGTGATAATGACACGGATTTAGGATGACCAGGCCTGTACAAGTTTGTAATAATATTTTATGTATTTTTTACAGATGATTCCATTTCGTTATCTAAACGGCCCATATTTACAAGTGTAGACGTATCTAGTAACTATGAAATCATTTTAAAGATACAGCCACTTCCAACACACTATAACATAATTTATTATAAAGTTGAAGTGTTTAAGGAGAAAGATGAGTCTGACTTGTTGTTGGACGTCAGATTGCTTCAACATGGAACTAACTCCTTTGAGTACATAACATACAATGAAGAAGGATATTATTTTTTTAAAGTTAGTGCTATTAGTAAGGAATGTCCCGAGGATATGTGTATGACGACTGTTTCTTCAAAAATTTATATTAGTAAGTGTTTTTTAAACAAATAATTCAAGAGTACTTATTATCTTATTCGTTTTTAGAAAGAAAATACCCACCTTTAGTGATAGGTATCGTTGGTGCTAGTTTTATGATCCCATTTATTTTATTTTTATTTCACATGTGGACTAGGAGAACGCAGCTTCAAGGTAATAAATATCAATAATAAATTAAGGCAGGTTCAGATGCACGCGAATTGCGAATATTGTTGTTATTGGTCAATTTAAAAAAATACGCACCTAGCAAAATTGACAGAAAGTTGTTTTAATATTTTGCGATAATTTAAAATTGTGTTTAATTTTTGCGAATATTCGTTGCGAATTTTCAGTTTTTAGGTTATAATCATATGTCGTCTCTTGGTCATTTATTTCTTGTTATGGTTATAATAATATGATCATTAGTTAGATAGAAGAAATTAAAAAGGTTTAAAAAAATTGTACATGATTATTATTAGCTACTTAATTATTTTAGAGTCTAATTTAATTTTTTTAATTTGTAGTGCAAAGTTTTGACTGCAAACTGGTAAAGTTTTTGGAATTTTTTTTGTTGGAAAATCCCGAGGAATATCCTTTATACCGAGTGCGTCTCAAAAGTGGCTCACCTCTAACCTTTTTATTTCTTCAGATAAAAAATCGAGATTTGGTATATTATTTTTTTGGTTGATATAAATTAGGATTGATTGACGTATTCAATTGTTTTCGGTCACTTCCTCTTTCACCGATAATTACTACAATTTTTATTTTCAAATGGCACCCTCGGTATTTTGTTACTTTATTCGATACAAAATGACACTCTGAATAGAATGACATATCATATGTCAACTTTTGACATTTTCGATTATGGTTTATTTGAATCCAAAAAAGCAAAAGACTCCGAAGTTTTTTTTGGGGTTTATAAACCAAGTCACGTGGGGAATAATGGACGCCTATTTGAAATTGCAACATTCATAACGACAATTGACTCGAAATACCGAGGGTGCCATTTAAAAATCAAAAGTTGTAGTCATTTCCGGTGACACAGGAAGTGGCCGAAGAGAATTGAATACAATAATCAATCCAAATTTCTGTCATATACTAACATACCAAATCTCGTTTCTTTTATCTGAAAAAATATAGTATTGTAGGGGTGAGTCACTTTTGAGACGTACCCGGTAAACATTCTATGGTAGTTTCCAATTTTTTCTCATCGTTAATTCTCATTTATTACACTAAATTATGGTATGCTCCTTGCTATTTTCACTTTTTAAATATTTTGCATTTGTTGTTTTTTATTAATAAATATACAGGCGTAGATCGTCTTCTACATACGAAATTTCGTTATTATATGAACTACGTAAATAAAAGAAGTTTTATTTTGCGATATTTGCAATTCGCCTTTCGCAATTCGCGTGTATATGAACTTTAGATTTTATAAACTTCGTGGATAAGTAAATTCGCTTCATTTTTGTTGAAGACACGTCAGCGACATTCGACTATCTGATTATCTTTGTCTTTGACACCGACTGACCAATCGTTTGTCTTTTTTTTGTGTACATTTTTATGTCATAAAATATAAATATATAAATTAGAGAAAATAATATTGTTATTTGGATATTAATTATTTATTGGATAATGTTTACTATAGTCTGTGAAACGAATAACTTCGAATTTGACAGTTCCCGCGGTCTTTTCTAGTGTTAATTTTATTAGGTTAGCAACTTGCGTCCATGCTGACGCAATGCCGTCTCTAATATAACAGCCTCGGAGCGAGATTTATGACGTCACGCTAGTTAGATACTACGGATTAATAAATATGTTGTATAATACATGGAAAACATAATTATTCCTCGTATTTTTGGTTTGTATTTTAAAAATGATATAGTTTACATGAAATATACATAATATAATAAATAATATATATATATATATATATATATATATATATATATATATATATATATATATATATATATATATATATATATATATATATATATATATATATATATATATATATATATATATATATATATATATATATATATATATATACCTATTTATAGTAATAAATACTTTGACAAATAAACTATGAACCATACAAATGCAGCAAATACACACAAAAATCACAATCTACAAAAAAATAATAATATTAAATAATTAATAATAAATACATCACTAGTAGGTATTGAATGTTTTTTGCTTGTTTTTTGTTAAATTAGATCGATTTTCAAATCTCAAAATTTAAAATATATTTTACATTTTCCCATTATCTTATGTACCTATTCATTATTTGTATATTGTAAAACATTTGCTGCATTTGTATGATTCATAGTTTATTTGCCAAAGTATTTATTACTATAAATAGGTAAAATATATATGGTATTTATTAACTGTATATTATGTATATTTCATGTAAACTATATCATTTTTAAAATACAAACCAAAAATACGAGGAATAATTATGTTTTCCATGTATTCTACAACATATTTATTAATCCGTAGTATCTAACTAGCGTGACGTCATAAATCTAGCTCCGAGGCTGTTCTATTTGAGACGGAATTGGTCTGATATTTAGAAATGTCAAAAGCTGATGACATTTTACTTTTGACAATTATGACATTTCGTGTTGATTTTTGGAAGAAGAGGAAGAACTGTCACCTGTTTTATTATTTTCTTTTTCTATTTCACGAAAGTAAAAAGAGTTACGTATCTGATTCGTTCAGGTACTCAATTTAAACAATATTAGAGGGATTTTATATTTGCCATGTTGGTAAAAAATAACGGTCAAAATTAAAAGTTATTGATTTTATAGACTATAGTATAGGTATTAATTATTTAAAGAAAAATTAAAGGAAATCGCCTAATAATGTTTAAACTGATTAAGTTACCTAACATAAATATATATTTCGCGGAATAAAAGTCGGTTTAAAAAACGATTTTAAATAAGATATATCTTGTTTTTTGAAAATATGGAACATACTTCAGAGGTTTTCATACTTTTAGTGTTGTGAAGTTCTTTTAAGGATAAGATTTTTCCTATTGCGGATAGCTTCACATATGTATAACACTTTTATTAGTCATAGTCATAATATCTATTTATCCACTAACTTTATCACACTACAAGAACAAACTTTCAAAAAGAATGCAGTCCTAAAATATCGTCGGAGTTCCAAATGAACTCTTTATTATCATGGGTCAAACAGTTTACAAAAAGCACAAAAAGTGACATTAAATAATTTGTTTATTAATATATGTTTTGACTTTTCAATGTCACAACATATTTTAATTATTTTAATGTGTTGCCCATTCATCATCGCTATTTTTCAAACTAGTATTCTAGAGCATTGTTAGAAAAGAATTTATCGTTATATGATTTAATTTTTGTTTAAAATTTAAATAAAAAGTATATTGAAATAATATTGCAAATATTTTCAAAATAATAAATACACGTATCAGTTATAACTTGATTAAACAATTGTAATAGTCTATATTAGTATAGTCTATCCAACGAGAAGATCCTTGACAGTGATAGATGTGTCTGTCATTTTAATTTCAAAGTAGTTTATTTTATTTTACAAAGAAATAAGTTGGTACAACTGGAACGCATAGCAGGATATATTTAAAATATGATTGACAAGATGACAAGTGATTACTTCAAAATATTGTGAAAAAAACTCTATAAAACTGAAAAAATGTAATCGAGTTATTTTATTTAATAAAAACGGTATGTGTTAATACAAAACAAACAAGAACAAGACACTACATACCAAAAAAATATAAAAAAGAACTATTATTTACTTTCAAGCTTTATGAAACTACCCGCATTTATGATTATATTTATCAATATAATTTATGTACCAATACAAATTTGTAATATTCCACAGGGATAAATAAAACAACATAGGTAAATAAAACAAACTATTTTATTAATAATAACACCTACCAAATTTTATACCCTAAAGGTTGATTAATTAACTTTAATCTTATTTTTTTTAAACCAGTACCTTTTGACATATTTTTCTGCAGTACTAAAATCCATTATTTACCTATCGTGTGATGTCGATATTTTACAGCTAATCCAGTTTTTAGTATGTGTTTAGTTTGATCCTTCTACCATATACAAGATGCACTTATCTACAACGAAATGGTATACAAACTTTATCGATGGCAACTTCATTGGTGTATAAGACTTTCTGCCTGGGCAGCGAGTATTAACCATAAACTGTGCTCTGGGTCTACAGTTAATTTTCACTCGATTTTTCCTCCACTTGACTTCAAAAGACACAAAACACACGTAATAATACGAATCAAATCTATAATTTGGCAAGACTTTGACAAGCGTCAAAAATGACAAAAATCTAAAGGCGAGTTCATACGCATCGGCGTTCGTTTGTCGTTCATCGTTCCGTCAAACCAATAAAATTGAAATATGATCTGTCATTTTTTAAATAAACCAATAAAACTGGTTAAAAACAACAAGAGATGACGCATGACGGATTTATATTTAAACCCATCCATAGTTAACTTAAAAATTATTAGAAACTTTTTTTAGTAAAATAAATAGATTGGTATGGGACGTCATCTGCTTTTCTTCTGTCATCGTCTGTCGAAATCTTACCTGAGAAAAAAACAGAGTATAGTAATATAAGTTAGCATTCACGTCTAATATCGTTCTACGCATGCTCAGTAGCGTATTCAGAGACAAGAGTAGGCCATACGATAATCGTGTTCTACGGTATGTTCCCGGATTGTTTTTACAAGAGGAAAAACTTTATTATTATTGACATTTTAAGAAAAATGCATTCTTCATAGAAGTTTTGCTAGTACTAAAATGGTTAATCCCGTTTATACTTTTCGAAATTTCCATACCGTTTCAGAGAAAATTAAGAAAAACATGAAAATAGTGTTGAATTTTCATGTTTTGAATCATGTGTCATGAATCAGAATTAATAATAACGAGCCTTTCGATTTTTAGGACTTGAATGTAAATACGTATGGAAATTTGGAAAAGTATAAACGGGATTAACCATTTTAGGAAAAGCAAAAATTTTTATGAAAAATGCATTTCTCTCAAAAGTCATAATAAAAAAGTTTTTCCTCTTGTTGACAATTCGGGGACGTACTGTAGAAAGAAATAGATAGAAAAATGCATGTGAAAGTCCCGTAAACAAATTCGTGTGTAATATACATATGGCATAGCTTTATCCACGAAGTTTATAAGATCTAAGATATGAACCTACCTTTTGTATAGTAATATACTGGGTGGTGCTTTGTCATAACGAGTCAAAATTTCGATATATGACGCCCAAAGAATGATTCCTTAAATTCCTTGAATTGTTATGTATCTTCTCGTTGGACAGACTATAGTTAATACTAGGCTATCTTTGTTGCAATATTGTCATGAAAATTTATATTTTGAAATTGTTTGTAGATGAAAGCGAGCCTCCAAAAGATCAAGTTTTTATTGTTTACAACCAAACTCCCGAAACTCACTACAACATTGTCAAATTGTTGGAGAAAACATTGAAAAGTCTGGGCAACGTGCAATTAGTGACGAAAATAAACGAGGCGACTCACATCGTTTACGTTTGCGGAACGCACATATTCGAACCCGATGCCTCAACCCACAAATTCCTAGTGATCGAGGCCAACAAGACCATTTCCAACGTGGAAATTCTAGTTTTAGCCTTTCCGTATTCGACAAAAGAAATTCCTCCCTATTTAAAGAAAAGCTTGAGGTTCGAACTGATGTCGGACTTTGGTAAGTTCATTCACATTTTTAACTGCGACGCCGAGTACGAGGATGCGCCGCTCTACGCAGAACTGAACAATAAACTAAAGACTGCGCAGCTTCACACGGAGCCGAAAAAGATCGTGCTCAACATGCCAATAATTATCATAACCGAACAGTCTGACAGTAGCGACACGGAGCCAAAAGAAGCGGACGTGTTACTTTAAACTGCTTGTTATTTTTTATATATTATAAAGACTGGACCTAAAACAGAGTAAAGACTTACTTGCTTCTTAGCATATGGCGACATTTTTATGCATTTCTGTTACCTATACCAAAAGTTTTAGAATCTTTGATTTTTTTTGACCATGTTGCTGAAGACTGTGAATACTCGTAGTGTTGTATGTGTCTTCTTTTCATGAGACTATAAAATCATATACTCTAGGAGCTTATTATAGGAAAGATTATTTGTTTTAAAGTTTTAACCTAAGTATGGCGGTTGGTAACGCCTTATTTGACTATAAAAAGGTGTATACAGGCTATCCCAGGCTGAGTTTGCATTAGAAGTTTCTATATACAGGGTGGTCCGAACTGTATTCCCGAAACTTCGGCAGCACATCCTGCAGATAAAAATAAGTAAAAAAGGTCGTATAAATGTATGTCCTAAAATGCTTAGTTTCGGAGATACCGCGTGTAGAGGTTTCATTTTTATTTCGATTTTTTCCAAATAATTTATGAAGTAACGTCAATATTTGGATGAAAATTGGTGTCTGGGAGTTTTTTGACATTAGAAATTTGTTTTTGATGTCAGTATGAATCCTACTTGGCGCCACCTACATGTGTTTTAACTGTTTTGAAGAGTAATAACTTTTCTCGTTCGTACCTGTATAAAACTATGGAGTGAAGAAATGTACATTTCATTTTTTGAGTTTTTTGATATGAGAAATTTGATTTTGATGTCAATATGACTCCTTTTCTGTAGAGGGAGCCACCTACATCTTTTCAACTGGTTTGAATAGTAATAACTTTTCGTCCGTAACTATATAAAAGTACTGAGTAAAAAAGTATACACTTACGAAGTTTTTTACGTAAAAAATATCTCTTGGTAAAAATCGCTACGAGTAATGGTTCTCGAGATATTTGGAACCGAAATTATCAATATCTATCATCATTGACATAAATTAAACATGTCGACTAAATAGTTATTAGACTGAATTGACTGATAAATTTTAAATGTAATTGTGTCAAAAGTTTAACAGAAACTGTTTTATCATCAGTTTTTCGCAGAAAAGTTTATGATTAATTTAAAAAAATAAAAATTTACGGAATTTATTATTTCAGTCAAGTAACTATCTACTCAGTGTGTTTATTTTTTGCCAATAATGACACGTATTGACTATTTTCATTCTAAACATCTTGAGAACGGTTGCTCGTAGCGATTTTCACCAAGAGACATTTTTTACGTAAAAAGTCACGGAAATGTACATTTCTTCACTCCATAGTTTTATACAGGTACGAACGAGAAAAGTTATTACTCTTCAAAACAGTTAAAACACATGTAGGTGGCGCCAAGTAGGATTCATACTGACATCAAAATCAAATTTCTCATATCAAAAAACTCCCAAGCACCAATTTTCAACATTGACGTTATGTTATTTTCAATATTGACGTTACTTCATAAATTATTTAGAAAAAATCGAAACAAAAACGAAACTTCTACACCCTGTATTTCCGAAACTAAGCATTTTAGCACATACATTTATACGAACTTTCTTACTTATTTTTATCTGCAGAATATGCTGCCGAAGTTTCCGGATGATATTCAATTCCGGATGAAATTTCAATTCGGACCACCCTGTATATAAATCCGGGTTCATAGCGTTCTACGTTCCGGTACCCAGTTGCCAGCCTTTCCTATTTTCCCAATCCCCTGGATGAAGATTTCTCTCCAACATAGCTTTATGTACTCCTCCAGTCCATGCTGGTTTTGGTCTTCCCTTTTTTCTCCTCTCTGATGGTATCCATTTCAAGACTTTCTTAAGCCCCGGTTACACGGTCCGTGGTCCGACGAACCGCGGACTGTGTGACATAGGCGGTCGCTGTGGCTCGCGGTCCGTGATCCGTGGTCCGGACAGTCCCGTCGGTTGTCGGTAAAATTTCACGGAACAAAGGAAAGGACTGTGCTGTTCCGTGAGGGTTCGTATTGGCTCGGCAAATTACGAACCATTGTCGGTGCATGTAACTTGTATTTCGCATATATGTTGCCACCCACAATCCCTTCTTGCGTTTTTGGCATTTTTGTTGCAACAATAATCCACTATACATGACACACAAAGTAGCAGCTGCCACAGCCTGTTGCCTTGCATCCATGTCAAATCGAACTAAATTTTCAAGTTCCGGGATCAGTCTGCAGACCACGAACCACACAAACCGTTTTGACAATGTCGGTTCGTCAAATGGCGGACTAGGGCAGGCCACGGACCAGTTCCGTGGTCTACCAAACCACGGACCGTGTAACCGGGGCTTTAGATATTCGGTCCCCACTCATTTTTCTACATGCCCATACCATACCAGAGCTGTCTTCTCTCTATTTCATCTATGACAACGGCCCAGCTACGTCGAAACACCGGTTCCCACTAGAACACCGAAGTTAAGCTACGTAAGGCGATACTAGTGGATGGACGGGTGACCGGTTTGAAACTCTGTATTGTGCTGTTGTCCATTAAAGGTAAAAGTGTAAAATCTATTGACACACACTGCTCATTCACGCAGCTTCGAGGCCGGATGAGATTGGATATCTCGTGAGTAAGAGTCGATTTAGACACTTGCCAAGATATGGCCGAGGACCGCGGTTCGGATTCCGCGTAAACAAAGTAGGCCCCGTCCAGATTAGCCCTGGCAGCAAAAAGGAGACGTTAACTGAAATCTTTACTTTACTTTTCTATTTCATCTATTATCGTTTGCTGGATATGCATACTTTCCCTTATCTTTTTGTTCTTTACTCTTTCCATTCTTGATATCCCCGTAGATCTTCGCCAGAAGTCCATCTCAAGTGGTAATAATTTGTTCCATTTTATTAGCGAGCTGCCGTGTTTAACATCCATACAAAACTATACTTTTAAAGGTGAAATTATAAATAGTATGTTTTCCAAGGATTTTTTTACCTTTCAGTATTTTTTCCTCGATCTCGCTCTCTGTTCGCCTGGTATAATCTATCTAAGTTCCAAGGTTGGTGTATTTACTGAATGTCCCTATCTCTATATTTCTATCCAGATGTAGAGTTTCTGCTGCTTGGCCAATACATAAATATTTAGTCTTTGATGTATTTACCGACAACCCCCACTTTTAATACTCGTTCAAATGTCTTGTTGTCATAAATTGTAAGTCTTCCTTATCTTGGACCACTACCACTTGATCATCTACCAAGTGAAGGTTGTATAGAGTTGTTTTGTCGTTACGGTTCTAGATCTAGATCCAAGATTTTTTGCACATAGTAGTTTAACATTGAGATCTATAAATTAAAAAATTTTCAAAATGGCGGCACTTTCGGAAATACCGGAACTTCACAGCAACCTTCTTGTTTTAAATGGATACCTACATTCTTATCATATACTGGTAAACTGGGTAAATACCTACCGTGATTCCCAAATGCGTCAGCCATTAAAATCTGCTTCTTTCATTTCCGTCTTGCCTTAACCCTCTAGTAATATACGTATCGTCGCAGACAATCATATTAGGTCTTATAGACATAGAATATAGAATTATACTGACTACTAGCAATAGAATTATTATATTCTACAGGGTGTCCCCGGCTGAGTGTGCATTAGAAGTTTCTAGAGAACTACCATATCTAGATCGGAGATTTTTTGCATATCTTTGTTTCACACAGAGATCTATCGACTCAAAATATTTTCAATATGGCGGCACTTCCGGAAATATCGGAGATTGACAGCAACTTTGTTATTTTAATTGGATACCTCCTTTTTTATTACATACTTAAATTCTCTGTAAAATATTATAGTCTATAATAAAAAACCTTATCATCGTTACATGGCTAATTTTTTGTGTGAATTATCCTTTTGTGTAGCCATTATGAAATAGTCATGTCTGCCAGCGCGATCTCGGGGCTTAAAGCGGGGGTGGCCAATCGAAAGGGTGAAATTTTGACACTAAAAATATTATAAGATACATGAGTTATAATTCCGAAAATAGCTTTTATTTATTATTAAGAAACGTGGAAAATTGTTGGCAGACATTTTTCTAGTCGCTAAAATGCCGACAGACAACGCGAAAGAGGCATGAAATTTTAAAAATTATTAAAAAATGAAATTTGAAGAATGAAAGAAATCATGGCATATTTGCATGCCCATTTGTTGAAATGTCATATTTATTTATTTTAAAAGCCGTATGCAAAAGAGCAGACAAAAAGATTGCGGCTTAATCAGCTGCAGACAGTTACCAAAAGCGCGATATTACTCTAGCGCTTTATTCAGAGAATGCTGGCCGCCTCACCCATTTAAGTATAGATAAATCATATAATATACGATTATATTATAAATGTATTTTTTTATTATTTCAATAACGATTTTTTTGTCTGCCCTTTTGCATACGGCTTTTTAAATTAATTAACAATAAACATGACATTCCACCAACCGACATGCATGTATGCGATGATTTTCTTTTGTCAAAATTCTATGCCTCTTTCGCGTTGTCTGCCGGCATTTCAGCCACGAGAAAAATGTCTGTCAACAATTTTACACGTTTCCTAATAAAAAATAAAAGTTATTTGGCGATTATAACTCGTGTACCTTATAATATTTTTAGTGTCAAAATTTCACCCTTTCGATTGGCCGCCCCCGCTTTAAGCCCCGGGATCGCGCTGGCAGACATGACTATTTCACAATGGCTACACAAAAGGATACTTCACCCAAAAAATTAGCCGTGTAACGATGATAAGGTTTTTTATGTAGCCAGCTCTCGGTCTATTATGAATGTTGATATTAACACTCTATATAAAAGTATTTAAAATTTTTGGATGAAAAAAACTGCCCGTCAAAAAAAATTTTACAGTCTAAACACCAAATTTAATGATCACCATAGGTAATGTAATGTGACATAAAGAGAAGCTATATCGCTCTCTATGTCAAAAATTAAATTGTTCGAATGTCATGTAATATTGGCCGTAGATGTCAATCAATTGAGCAATTAAAAAATTATCATAAATCATTTTTTTTATTATTTTTTTTTCAAGAGCGAAAATACGACATATTTTTGTAAATACACTTTATAAAGTCTCAAGCAGGCAGCATTTATAATATACGAAATTCAAGTAATTAGTTCTCTGACAGAAGGAAATGCATTGTCTGATTGTTTGTCACTTAATGTCAAAAGAAGCTAGATAAAATCAAGAAATATTTCCGCTTTAAAATTAAATCTTAAATAACTTAAAAACGATTTATTTTAGGTATAGGAACATCTATAATCAAAAAGTAACGAATTACAAAACCTTTTCACTAGTAAAATGAGAAACGTAGGTTTCTATTTGAAAAAAATGATAGATCATTTTTGAATCGCTCAGTTGCAATATAGCTATGGCCAATACTATATG